TTAATAACTTGGTTAAGTGAATTTTGTTACATTTTGCTTGTCAGAAGATCACAGAAGAGGATCATATGATCCCAGGATATGGCAACCATCATAAATATGAGTCAGTTGCCTAGCGTCTGAATTTTGATCACATTGCCATGGGGATGCTGCAACAGTTGTGTGAAAACTGGTCCTGGGTCTCTTTTCAGTGCCATAATTTCAAATGGTCACTCAACGAATGGTTGTAAGCTGAGAACTTTATGTATTTAAAGTAAGAGACTTGTATTCTATTTCCATCCACAATCCTGTTGAGCTGGTCTGACTTCTGGGAAAATGCTGTTCTCTTGCATTTCTTGCATAGTTTATAATCAATGTATGTTGCTCGCAGAAGTGCTTTCAGCACTCTTCTGAGTCAAAAGAATAAAGCAAAGTCACTACTTCATCTTAAAATGTTTCAATGGGACATGATTTATTGAGATTTTGGGATGCCACCACTTACCTACATCCCACCAAATTCTGCTTCAGACCTCGTTAAAAAAAAAAAGATGTTCCTATGGTCATCTTAATGGAGGATCTGTTTGGGTAGAAATGTGAATGTTCTCCCATTCTGTTCTCCAGCATGATAGATGGAGAATCCACGAATGGGTTAACTCTGTCTTCCTGTCCATTTAGACTAAGTCTGTCAAACTTGCCACGCCTCTCCTGGGCCAGGAGACCTCCCAGTCATGACTTAGTCTGTGCCCAGAAAAGACATGTCAGTTTGGCTCCGTTTTCAGACTAAACTACAGAGCAGGTTGTATTGTTCTTTCCCTTATTTTTCCCCGTTCGTGAATTCTCCATTTCCCCTTGCAGCACTGGGATCAGTGCAGCGCCTAACCGCTTGGCGTTTTTTCTTTCGCTAAGCTGCAGCCTTGAGGAAGCCTCAAACCGCTTGGCGTTTCTTCTTTCGGTGCGCTCGTTGTGGGTGCCATTTTGGAAGCTGCTTGAGGAGCTTTTTCGTCAAAAACTTTTGCTGCTTTTTAAGTGTTGTTGGCCCTTGCTGGATTCAGCATGCCTGTAACACTCACATTAGTCAGAAGCCGCTCAAATGGTTGATTCCTTTCCCGTTCTCTTTTGCTCACTCTAATCGCAGCCTTAACTCCCCTGAGGTGCCTTTCACAGTAGCGTCTGCCATTTTAGGCGCCGCTATCGTTCCCTTCCAGCAACTTTCAGAACCATCAACAGTGGTAGCCTTTGAAACTGCTTCCTGACATTTGGACTAAAAGAAACAGTACTGGGTAGCTTCTTTTTTAGAATACAGAATAACAGAACTTGAAAGGGAACTTGGAGGTCTTCCAGTCCAACCTCCCTGCTCAAGCCGTAGGTCCTATTTTTTTTTTCTTGTAGGAATTAATTCAAAGGCTTGTGCCAGATTGGCCTTGAAGCCTTTGTTTTATAGTGTTCCTAATGGTTCCATCTAGTCTCTGGTGCTATTTAATGCAAGAGTTCTAGAGTTTCAGTGCCTTCAGAATGCTAGTGTCCTTCTATTTCTCTTTTCCTTCAAAATCAAAAGTTCTTCCGCTTCTCAATGTGTATCTGACGTTTGTAATGGATTGGATGGGAGCGATCTAAATCCAGACAAACTGCTGGGCAGATGATAGAAAGATTAATGAATAAGGATTAAGAGTTAATGTACACAGAAATGTCTTTATATACTTGACTTAATGGCTCAAATTTGCAAGCTGGCTTTTGTTCAGGACCTAATGCAAAAATCGGGCAACTAATCATCAAGCATGTGTTTGCAGAGTTAAGCTTTGTCAGCATACTATGTCTGTTTCCAGAATTATCCGAATAGATTATTGTGATATCTCATCTGGGCTGTGATAGCTGATGCTGCCTTTGTAAATGTTTGGACATCTCTTTTGGTTTAGATCACTGCTGTCAGTTTATTGACTGGAATCTTAGCGTATGCTAGTTTGCTCTATGGATATTGCAAGATCTGCAATTAATGGATGATACACAATAATGCGCATGAAATCAAAAATAAACTGGTGAAAATGTTGATTATAGTTAATGCACTGATTTTTCTGCATATAAGTATTTTTTCTGTCATAAGAATGATTACAACTTAATAGCAACATTTGGAGAGAGCTGGAAAGCCGCACCGAAAGCACTGAAGGCCACAACCAGACATGGCATCACATGGCTGTGTCCTCTTAAGCTACAGTGTATTAAACATGCTACTTATGATCTTTGAAGTAGGTTATACATAGATAGATCTGTTTACTCCGTTTTTTGTCTGGCTTTCAGATCTACTGAAAAGTCCTTTCTTAGTTCAGCTAAGCTACTTTTTGAATTTGCGAAAATTGGACTAGCTCCTTCCTCTACATCAATCTGCAAGCAGGAAAAAATCTGCAAATCTCCAGCAAGTTAAACTAGCTTGACTGCTGGTTTAGGGAGGCAAATTTTCAACACTGAAACAGGTTCCCTTAAGTTTTTATCAGTCTGTAAAAATGGCTGGCAACAGCGTTTCGTAAGATAAGAAAAACATTACAGTACACATTACTGTTCATATCCTCTTGGGTTTGAAAAAAATGTCTTGCAACTATGAAAACTTACATCAAATTAGTGCAAGCTGAATAAAACTGCCCTCCTCTATGAACTTTGTTTTTCAAAAATACAACTTCACAAAATTATTACTTTATCCTCAGCCCTACTGAAGGCAAACAATTAATTCAAGATTTAGAAGTTAAGAAGAATTTTGCTTGAATCTAAATGGGAAAAGCCAGGTCTGGTTACTTTCTAAAAATACTGATAGGCAGGACTACTGAATATAGGCTGCAAGGATCTGGATAATGACTAAGTGCCAACAGAGAAAAATAGGACTCTTCGTTCTTAGCTACCCTGTAAGGGTTATTCAGATTTTGCAGCCTGGATCCTAATGAGGACTGGCTACATCACTGGCTACATCACTCTATTTTTTATTGCCGATTCCCATATTTATTTGTTAAATTTCCTTCAGAGGCTCAAAATGGCGTTCATACCGCTTGAAATGGATTTAGGATTGCAGTGAAAGGATTTCATTATACCTCAATAAATTCCAGTACAGATTCAGATTTGTCTTACCAAGTTGGGAAGAAAAATAGAGGACCAAAAACAATAAAATCAGAGGCAGTCTTCTCTATAATGCTATTTCATTTCAAAGTAAAACAGAACCTGGAAATTGCCATTATGATACTTCTGGATCATGCTAATTCATAACTTCGAGCCATTTGTATTATTTGCTGCTGGTTCTGAACTGACCCTAATATGCAACAATAGTTTTAAGAAAGCCCAGCTGGGAAACTGCAAGAAATTCATTACGGCTAATTATAGTAACAAATTGCCATTTCTATTAATTGCAACTAAGCTTTAAAGATCACACTAAATCTATGCATGTTTATTTGGAAGTGCACTAACCATATCAAAGGCTACTTTCAAGTGAGCACTTTTTTAATGACAGTTTTAAATTTTTACTTTATTTTCAAGTCTGGGGCAACTACATTATTGTGTTCTGGCTCAAGGTAGTACTCTAGGCCAGCGTCCCCTAACCTTTTGGGCACCAGGGACCGGAGAAAGGTTTTTCTGCGGATTGGAGGGGGCGTGTTTTTGTGTGCTGCCTGCATCCCATAGATGGGGCTTCGATTCTTTGCGCAGCCCAGTTTCTGGCATGCTGCAACCTGGTGGCAGTCCTTGGCCCGGGGGCTGGGGACCTCTGCTCTAGGCAGATGAGCAGCTTATTTTTGCGCGCATCTATTATTTGATGGGGAGGGGAGCTGCTTTTTTGCCCTTCTGGCTGGTTAAGAGTTATTTCATAGTAATAATTTAAATTCAGATGTTTGTTACAATCATTTAAATAATTGTCCGTGGAATTTGCAGATAGCATATCTGACATTCCATAGTACAAGTGCTCAGGGGGAAATAAACATCTAAATGATATCACATATTTGTATATGCAATTGTTTTATTTATTTTTTATAAAAATTACTCTAAAGACTGCATTACATAGGGATCTTTTTAACAGTTTTTACCATCAAGCTCTCCATTGCTAGATTTTTTTTCCCCCTAGAAATTGTCAGCAACAAAACATCCCTCTGACCTGGGGACTGCACATCTTTGCCCACTGAATATGGATGAAACTGTTAAATGGTATATTGTTCAGTCTGTAGGCGCTTCCAAAGAGTCCACATCAGAAGAGTCTCAAATCAGCAAGGCCTGGTTCCAAGTACATCAGAATGGCTTTGAGTTACAAATCTGAAGAGTACGTTGGCTGCTGGCCATTTGTCCTTAGCATGCAACTAGAAGCTGTCTCTGGCTATTTGTGGCATTATTCAAGGTTTGTGCAGCTGCCAAGGGCTCCCTCTTCCCTTTGGCAAGTACTGAAGAAGGAAGCCAAGCAGTTATCAAACATTCCATTTTTTTCTTCCAGACCTGAGTAATCCCATCAGTCAATGGTACCATTATAGGTCCTGTTGAGCTTGTTGAATGTGAAGTCTAAACTATGTGAGGAGATGGGCTTGCGGTAAAGAGGATTTGTAGCCTTAAAAGGAAAGGAAAAGAAACGTATGAAACTGAATGCTTTCTTGATAAAATTAAATTATACACTCACACCAGTAAACATGATTTTTCATCTTTTTATGACCCTTTACTCGGGGTGGAGTCAGGGCGACTGAATGGAGCTGAGCATTTACTGGCTGGATGCCCTTCTTGACGCCTATGTGGAGTTCATAGCAGATATTTTCTCTTTGCACCCTCATAAACATCTGCCACTGCCTAGGATTGAACTCTCAACCTTCCAAGTGCATATTTACCTCTAGGCTACCGCACCACTCACACTAATAAACATGATTAATAAACAAGATAGGTTATTCTGTTAGTGTTTCACACTGGTCTCCTGTAATGTTTAAGAGCCTTGCTTTATTGATCCATGGCTTAATGATTCTTAAAAATCCTATCCTTTAATGCCATTAAATTTGCATAAAGTAGCCAGACTACAAAATGGTTCATGTACAGCCTCTCACTATCCTATTTGACTTTGCACTGGAAGAAATTTCTAATTTTATTGCTACATAAGGGGTTAATTGAAGAACTGCAATATTTGAGAGATTATGGAAGGATCTTGCTTTCTGTCTTATATGGACACATATAAACAACCTCATCAATCAGTGAAAGAGCATTGTGAATGTACAATGAAATACATTATGGTTAAATATCCAGTAAGAAAGAAATTGAGTTTTCTTTATAATGTTCAACTTAGTTCCACATAAAAACAAGTTATGAAAAAAATGGAATAATATAGTTTCCCATTCAAAGTAGGGAATGAAAATATGTTATCTATTTAGGTCAAGCAATGCACTTTCAGAGATGCTTCATTTTAGTAACAATTCTGGTGGAAATGTCATATAGGTGCACTCATCTGCCCAGTTCATATGGGGTGAACTTTGAAGATATGAGAGAATGTAATCCCTTAAAATTTTGAGCAAAAGATTTTTGTTTGGCTTCACTTGCTTTGCCAAATACCTCTTTAAATAATCCACATGACCCTAATTTCTACCATCTTTATTCACTCTGTCTTGAATTCATTTATATCTAGGTAAAAAGATCTTGACAACAGACTGATATACACTGCTATAATCCAAGATAGGAATTGCTATATATTTCAAGAGGGCAACGTAAAATACAATTCTCAAGAAGGGCCCTAATAATAAAATCTAACATATTTTCTAAATACATTCTTCCCCTTTCAATAAGTAGACTTCTTGATTTGACGTCATTCCTGAACAGCAAAACTTACCTTCTCAGTCTCCATGGTCTCAGCATCCTTTTGTATTTTTTTCACATTTCTGAACCACTTAGCATTTTCTATCTCTTCTTTAGTTTCCTAATTTAATACTCACCATTTCGTATCTTGCCCGGGAACGCTCACTCTGGAATTTGGCAAATTCCCGTCTGTCGTGAATAGTAACCAACAGCTTCCAGATTGCCAAAAGGACAATGCCCAGAAGCACAATACTGCCAACTACAGCAAGTAAGATCGTCATGACATCAGGGGCGGTACTACACTCTAAAAAGAAGAAGGAGAACATGATTAACTATTGTTGACAAGGGCAGTATCTTCAAAATAGGCCTCATCAGATGATGGGATAAGAGTAGAATAAATCGCTCCTGAACTACGCATGAATCTAAGTAATTGGAAAATATCTCAATGTAGCTGATTTCAAATGTTATTATCTAGTTTTTAGCATTAAAAGTAGGCCTGAGAGTTAAGCAATAAGTCTATTGCTAACACCTGATTCATTTGTATAATTCATTATCAAGGATGATGTTGATGCAAGTTGAATTCATATGATTGAGTCTAATGCCAAGGGCTGGCTGTGCATATGCCATTAAGCAGATGGGAAACTGTTTTTATCAGCAGCCCAAGAATGATCCCAAATCAGAGCAACACATGTAACTTAAAAAATAAAATATGCTGAGAGGTTTATGGGCACCCAATACATGACTGATGGACATAGGCCACACTCTTTTGTGTCAGATATATCTCCTTGCAGGGAAGTTTATATGCATAAGATAAATTTCTGGAAATTATCAGCTAGATTTAAATATACACACTTTTCTTTAGAGAGCCACCTATCATTGGATTAAGTATAAGTGTTATTTATCTACAGCAGAGGTCCCCAACCTTTTGGGCACCAGGGACCGGTTCTGTGGAGAGAGGTTTTTCCACAGACCGTAGGGTGCATGGTTTTGTGTGCTGCCTGCATCTCACACATGGGGCTTTGCTTGTTTGTGCAGACCGGTTGCTGGCATGCCGCGGCCCGGTACTGGTCCACGGATCAGGGGTTGGGGTCCCCTGATCTACAGGATTGCTCTATATAACCAAATTGAATTCTGCAGAAAGTTCTATGCAAAAGGAACTCCTTTGACTGGTATTAAAAGAAAAGTGCTAGGAATCTTGTGTGCCAGGTGCACTGTTTATATATTATTTATTTAGCTGTTTATTAATAACATTTACATTAAATATTACATATATTTCTCAAGCTATACTTTTTCTTTTTGCTAAGCATTTGTGAGATAATTTTTCACAGCAGATGGCGGCATTTAGCCAACTTTCATCTTGAAAAAGCCAAGCAGGATCAGATCGGGTTAATTCTCCGATGGGAACCACCAGAAACACCGACCACTGTAGACTAAATGTGAA